TCTTGCTTCCACTGCCTGGGGCCATTTTGGACTGTGCGTGAGTGGAGACGTGAGGACCAACATCTCACCTCCCCTGAGAGCAGGACAAGGCTCTAAAGGCAGTTCTTTCAAAGTGAAAGCACAAGACAGGCACACTCTGTCACATGCAGCATGTCCAGATGTCTCTGTGCCCCTGTACAAATGGCGGCCTTCCACTCTGCTTCCGATACCACATTCCACCCTCCGATCCTACCGAGGTAAAAGTGCCACCGGTGAAAGATTAGCTCTTGATGCAGGCGCACCTGTGGCCCAGGAAGGGGGAAACCTCTGAACAGCCTCTGGACTAGTAGAAAGAGTGAGTTGGCTCATGTTAAAATTTCCCCGAATCTTTTTTGTGCTTTGGTCTGTGTTCACTACACACAGTACATGCTCAATAAAGACCTATTGTTTTGACTTGATCTCAAAACCACCCTCTTAAAGCACTGAAGGAGTAACTTCCCATTCATTAGATGTTCCTTAAGTCAACGCAAGTGCTTAAGCAGCAGCAGAACAGGTCTTACAGATTTGAGAACATTCTCTATACTTTTCTTCATGACCAAAGTATTTCAGGATGCTAAGAAACTGAGAACAAAAGTAGTCGAGTGAGTAAAAGGGGAAAAAAAATGTTTAAAAAAGAAAAATAAATAAATATGAACAATGCTTTAATCCAAAAATTTTACTCCCAGAATTTTATTCTAAGAAAATATTTCAATAGAGGCAAAAAAAAAAAAAATAACCCTACAAAAAGAAAAGGAAAAAGTGGAAATACAAACTTATATATCCAATGTTTGCATAATAATTATAACATATTAATTTACTAGATCATTATCTATAATGAAAATCATTTTGAAGACAATGAAAAATGATAAAGTCATGCATTATAGGTTTACAGGCTTTTTTAGACATGGGGATAATCGAGACTATTAAAGGCAAAGCAGACTAAGCAAGAAAATGTTTTTCCATAACAATATACCAATAGTAAGAACCAGAAGTTGACCGAAGCACTGTTTTCCTAACAATTACCAAGAATTCGGTCCCTCAATCCCAATCTCATGTCACCTACAAATGTGATGTAATGTCACACTGCGGTTATCTATTTATTGCCTTTGTGTTTTAGAGTTGTCATAGCGGTAAAATTTATTTTAATAAAATTATTAAACTTTCCTTTAATTAAAGTATATTTTATTCATTTTGAAACTATATACTAATTAAAGTATATTTTATTCATTTTGAAACCATAGTGGTATAAATTTACTCTCAACTACGTTACCACCATGTTCACATTTTGCTTCAAATTTTCAGTCTGTTAACAAAATGCCTATAAACATAGAAGTGTCCTTCCCATGCAAGATAAGGAGCTGCTCTACCCACGGAAGGTTCCAGGTTCTCTTGGCAGTTGTAGGATAGAGCATGCTCCCCAAGGACAAAATAAGCTATTTATGCCAATGCTTATATGAGACAATGAGTGACCCTCAAATTCATACTTTAAAAAAAGGGGAAAACGATACTCTTCTAGTTAGTTGCATGGATTTTGGCAAGGAAACTGAGCTTCCTTGGACTGGGTCCAGAACCTGCAATCCCAGGACCTCCACAAAGACCAAAGGGCAGCAGAGGTTGATTGACCCCAACAGAAAGAACTATTTCCTGGCTGGCGCACAGACACAGTTTCTGACGCTACAAACTTTCACAGTGTTCAGAGTGGGAGGAGTAGATAAGTTTTGCAGTGTACAAGAAATGAGCCAACAACCTTAAGGGGTCCTCTGTGCCTTTCCCATGGATCATCATTAGATCAGGAACTGAAAAGGGCAAATCTTTCACTAGGGTCTGTTCATTTCACCCTAAAAACGTTTTGCTCTAAAACATAGAGAAAGAGGGGTGCCTGGGTGGCTTGATTGGTTAAGCGTCCCATTCTTGGTTTTGACTCAGGTCATGATCTCGTGCTGACGAGTTCAAGCCCTGCGTTGGGCTCTGTGCTGACAGCTCAGAGCGTGGAGCCTGCTTCAAATTCTGCATCTCCCTCTCTCTGCCCCTCCCCTGCTTGCATGCTCTCTCTCTCTCTCTCTCTCTCTCGCTCTCAAAAATGAATACACATTAAAAAAATTTTTTAAACACAGAGAAAGAGATACTAATGTGTGTGGATCAGTGGATTCCTTCATATATATATCATATGATATATATATATATGTAAATATATACTTCTCAAATATGTATGTATTTGTAAAAAGCTATTATTTTAATGAGATTGCCCATCAGAAGCTTTGTGATAATAGAATGAGATGAAATTGGTCAAATTTTGGTCTTCCAAGATAATAAAGCATCACTGATCATCTTAAAAACTCATTTTAAAGTATTAATTTTTCATCTCCACCTGTCTCAAAAGAAGATATTTCAAAATACAATGAAAAAGGCAAGAGTATAGAAAAGTATGCATAGGTATAGTAAAAATATGTAAACTGGATAGAAAATCAGAGTTTTAAAAGAAAATGCATCAATTTGGAGAAAGTTAAGTTCAAAACAGAACACATAACACATTTCCTCTTGTAATGCCTACAAATTTACTATAAAAGAGATACTTACTACAGTACTTTAAAGCTTATTTGAGATGGCAAATACTTTGCAATGGGAATCAGAAGCCAGGTGCCTATTCCAGGAAAGAGATTTCTGTATTGAAAATAAAAACAAAACAAAACAAAAAAAACAAAAAAAAAAAACCAAAGGAACTATGTGCAAATAAATAAATAATCACCCATGCTAAATCAAGGGGTCAAAGACCAGCTTGGCAGCTGGAACAAAGACAAATTTGTCATCAAAACTCTTTGGCCCTTCTTTCCTAAAGTAAATTTGGAGCTAATTAGCTTTCAAGACTTTTCCGGGATTTTTTTCCACAGAGACAAGACAAAGAAACACACTCAAGATAAAAAACAGATGTTGAAGTTTACTGGTCATTTGTCCATGTACATTATATATTTACACGTCACTGTGAAAGCTGTAGTTTGGCCAAGGCCCAAATGTATTAGGTGACAGGGACACTATGGATCTTACTCCGTGTGCAAGATGCCACCGCCTCGCATGGCTGGACTCTACCTGGGCTGAGATACGTTTCCCTTCTGTGTTCGATGTTCCTTACTGCAGTTGCCTTTGAGTGTTGTGTACAGATTTCCAAAAATCACAGGGACTGTACAACTTACAGTCTCTTACACTGGTATTGGGCCTCCCCACATTCATCAACACCATCTCCTTCTTGTCAAGTCATAAATTTTGGTTCCTCAATACCCGGCTTCGAGAATACCGGAAGAAGACAATGCAGCGGTAATTTCTCGACACAGATGTCAGAGAAAACCGAGCCAAACCAGAAATAAAAAGATAAGCAGAATACACCTAAGTTTTTTAGGGACCTCTGTGCAACTTCTTTAGGATCCTGAACCCACATTTTTACCTTTGGTTGCTAAATCATAAAGTTTATACTCCGTGACAACAAACAAAATGTATTAAAATATAAGGTTTCTATGCAACTAAGAGCCCTGGTCAGTAGCTGGTTTTAAGATTTCAAAATACAAGAGGTCCTTGAGGAGTTGGGGACTGGAAGGAAAGGATAGAAATAGAATATTTCTAGATAAAACGTACCTGAATAAATGAATTTGCATTTGAATAAAGATATTCGTTATAGGGTCTAGAACTGCCCTTACTCAAAATTTTAAATGAGGTGCAACTAAAGGCACTACAGGACAATTTGTACACCAAGTTTATATATAAACAGTTCTTCCCTTTAAAATCTGTTGGGGTGCGGGGCCCGGGTGGCTCAATCGGTTAACTGGATAAGCCTCTGCCTCTTGATTTAGGCTCAGGTCGTGAGATCAAGCCCCTCGTTGGGCTTAAGATTCTCTCTCTGTCCCTCCGCCCCTCCCTCTCTCGCTCAAAAATAAGTAAATAAATACATACATGCATACATACAAAACCCAAAAACCCAAAAACAAAAACCAATCAGGCTTCTGGGTGTTTCTGAGGAAAACATGGGATCCCCACAGAATTTGACCTGCACGTCATGGAGTCGTTCTAGAACAGAGAAATGTCCGTAACTTTTATTTTCTTGTCCAGTTCTCTGTCTTCTCATTGGAATCTATCTAGAGTTCCAAAATTTACAAGGTCGGTAAAATTTAAATTTGGTCTGCTCGGGTGGCATCCATTCTCCTCTAGTCTTTAGGAGAGAAGCATCTCGGATTTCTTTCTGTAGTTTCTCCGCATGTTGCAGAGCACCGACTGGAATGCATTCGTGAGCGTACATAAGGCTTTGGACTGTAACTCACCCCCATACAGTCGTTCCCCTTATCCACGGAGGATGCGTTCCAAAACCCCCAGCGGATGCCTGAAGCCCGGGGTAGTACCCAACCCTGTGTATACTAAGTTCACTCCTATACAAATGTATGATAAAGTCTAACTTAGAAATTTGGCGCAGTAGGGGCCCCTGGGTGGCTCAGGTCATGATCTCACGGTTCCTGGGTTCGCGCCCAGCCTTGGGTTCTGTGCTGACAGCTCAGAGCCTGGAGCCTGCTTCGGATTCTGCGTCTCCCTCTCTCCCTGTCCCTCCCCTGCTTGTGCTCAATCTCTCTCTCTCAAAAATAAACATAAAAAAAAAATTTTTTTTTTAACAAATTAGGCGCAGTAAGAGATGAAACAGCAATAGCTCCGAACAAATCGATTAAAACAATACACTGTAACAAAAGTTCTGTGAACGTAGTGTCTCTCTCGCTCTCAAAACATCGTGTTGCTTCGTACTCACCCCTCTGGAGGTGACGTGCGATGACGAAATGCCTCCTGAGGCGCTGGAGTGAGGCCAGTGACGTGCATCCTGACGTACCATGTGATGCAGATTTCTGCTGCTATTGGCTTCCGGCAGATTCGACAGAAGGAGGATGGGCTGCTTCAAGGGGCCGTTGACCGCGCCATACCGAAACTGCAGAAGTGAACCTGCAGGTAGAGGGAGGCCGCTATTCTAGCCTATTGTTCTAAACTCAGAGGCAAGAGGGAGAAATTGTAATAGCTTTCTTTTGGACTGCTTTTGCTGTTACTGAAGTTTATTCACAAAGATCACGTGTAGGGGGTTGGTGGAATGCTTTTCCTGGAGCCTCAGTTCCAAGCAGCTAAGTAGCGGGCGTTCCTTTAGAGTCAATCCAGCGCACGATGACCTTGATGACCTTCTTTCTCCCACGCGCCCTCCTGAGGCACCCCACCCCCCACCCTCATCACCATCCAATCCACATAATCTTCTTGTTGCAGCCTCCTGCTTTCCCAGGTGGCTCTCTTGGGCAGGACTTATATAAGGCTCCAGACGGCGCCATGCCTGTGTTGGCCCCCTGTGATCAACAGGAAATACTCAGGAATCCTTGGCCTTGAGGTTCCCAAGGCAGCAGCAGGTGCCTGACTCCTGGTTAGTGAACCTACTTCTCACCCTCTGCATTTCCCAGGAAGGTTCAGACCCCATTCCAAATACTCCCCAACTTCAGCAGACACCTGAGCTCTCAGAGTGACCACCTTGAAGCTCCTTTCTCTAACTTTGGGCAGGCAAGGGGCAGATGTGGAGAAAGGGCAATGGTGTGAATTCCCCTCTTCTCGCTACACTCTGATACCCCTTTTCTGCGGGTTATATATTGTAATATATATAAAACATAAAATATGCCATTTTTAGGTAGACAGTTAAATTACATTCACATTGTTGTACAATCATCACCACCGTCCATCTCCAGAACTGTTTTATCTTCCCGAACTGAAACTCTGTACCCATGAAACGATAACTCCCTACCCCCTTGCCCCTCAACCCCTAGCAACCACCATTCTATTTTCTATCAATTTGACAACTCTAGATACCTCTTATAAGTGGTGTCATACAATATCTGTCCTTTGTGACTGGCTTATTTCACTTAGCATAATGTCTTCCAAGTTCATCCATGTTGTAACATGTGTCAGAATTTCCTTCCTTTTTAAGGCTGAATAATACTTCATTGTACAGGCATACCACATTTTTTTTATCCACTCGAATATTGATGGACACTTGGGTTGCTTCCCCCTTTTGTCTGTTACGAATAATGTTGCGATGAACATAGGTATATAGATATTTCTTCTGATTCTCCTTTTATATCCTTGATCTTTTCTAAATTTTGCCCATGTCGACTCAGTCTCACATTTATTTTGGTATTTGAACATTTATTTTGGTATTTGATGTCCATTACATCAGTGCCTGAGTCAACATTTAGACAGGAAGAAACCCATTTTAACATTCTGCTAGCATAAGACCCAACGGTAATCTTACACCCTATTGAAATTCCTGTAACTTTAATTTTACCAGACAGGTCTTGTCTCTCAGTGGTGGTTTTCCCTCAGATGCTCCTGATTTCATTTTCTAGTGAAGGTTTGGATACAGACTGGTCTCAGTAAGCACTTCAAAATGTAATCCAAATGTGAACATGTGACTCCACGATTCCACTCTTAAGTATATACCTGGGAGAAAAGAAAATGTGTCCACACAAAAACTTGTAGACAAGTGTTCATAGCAGGATTATTCAGAATAGTCGAAAATTGGAAACAACCCAAATGTCCACCAACTAACTGATCAGTAGATGGACAAAATGTGGTATATCCAGTCAATGAAATATTACTCAGTAATAAAAACGATGAAGTAGTGATCTAAGCTATGACACAGACAGACATCCAAAACATTATACTAAGTGAAAGAAGACAAATGAAAAAGCTGACATATTCTAGGATTCTATTTATACAAAATGTCTAGAAACAGCAAATCGATGGAGACAGAAAGTAAATTAGTGGTTGCCAGGGCTTGGCAGTACCAACAGGGAGTGACCACAAATGAGACAGAAGGCTTCTTTCTGGTGTGACGAATATGTTCTAAAATTTGATTGTGGTGATGATTGCACAACTCTGTAATGTCACTAAAAATCATTTACTTAAAATGGGTGAATTTTGTGATATATCAATTACACCTCAATGAAGCTCTTTCTTGAAAATAGAATGCAAATATTTAACAAGTGTAGTTCATGACATAATTAAAACACAATCTTAATTAATTATTGTACAGAATTAATGGCTGAAAATTTCTATGGCAAGATGCTCATAGTGGCTCTCTGACATTTAGACTATAGGATTCTTTGCTTTTGCTTATGTGTATTTTAGAACGTTCTTCATTGACCATATGACTTTCCTAATAACAAAAGCTGTGTGTCTGTTTTAAATTAAAAGCAGGGGTGGGGCACCTGGGTGGCTCAGTCAGTTAAGCGTCCAACTCTTGGTTTCAGCTCAGGTCATCATCTCTCGGCTTCTTTGTGGGGTCGAGCCCCACGTCAGGCTCTGTGCTGGCAGTGCAGAGCCTGTGTGGAATTCTCTCTCTCTGCCCCTTCTCCTCTTTCACTGTCTCTGTGTCTCTCTCTAAATAAATAAATAAACTTTAAATTAATAATTTATTAACTCATTAAGAGCATGGGTGAATTTATTTACTTTTTTACTTACTTATTGCAGTGGGGGGGGGGCTTTTCAAATTAGACAAAAACCCACAACACTAAAGGCACTCTACCAAATTTGCCATATAAAATGTTAACATTTTTCTGTGTCACAAAAACCAAACCCAAACAAAACCAATAACTAAACACAAAGTTAAAACACAGAGGACAAATTGTGGAAAGCATTTGCAAATACAATGACTGACAAAAGATAATTTCCTTTATTTACAAAGCCTAGCCAAATTAGTAATAAAAAAGTTGAACCCAGTGGAAAAATAAGCGAAGAATATGAACAAGCAATTCACAGAAAAACAAATAACTGCCATTTCTATTATATAAAAAGATGTTCAGGGGCGCCTGGGTGGCTCAGTTGGTTAAGCATCCGACTTCAACTCAGGTCATGATCTTGCAGTTGGTGGGTTCAAGCCCTGCACTGGGCTCTATACTGACAGCTTGGAGCCTGGAGCCTACTTCAGATTCTGTGTCTACCTCTCTCTCTCTCTGTCCTCCCCCACTCACGCTCTGTCTCTCTCTGTCTCTCAAAAAATAAACATTAAAAAATAAATAAATAAAGTATGAGACGTAGATGTGCCAATAGGGAAATATCCCTAAGGAAGATGAGGTGAAAACGAGAAGAGTAAAAATACATATTGTGTAAATGTTAAAACACACACACATACATATTTGGGGGAACATAAAAATGCTTATCTTTGGAAAAGAGGGACGAAGGTACTGCTGGGAAGGAAGGCTATGTACTTTTCATTTCTAACTTTCTATGCTGTGTTGCGTATTTCAAATCTGTGCCTGATTTTTTTTTTTTTTTAATGCCCAGAGAGGTTAGCTAGCTAGACGATGGGGTTATGAACCATTTTTGCTTTTTTACTTTACCGTATTACAAATAACTTTAAGGGCTTTTGTTATTTGAACAGGTTATTATTTCCGGCTGCACCTCCCGTCGCAGACGTGCCAGATGCAAAGAGGATACCAGATGCAGCCAGGGGCACAGCCGCAGCACGTACGTGGGAGGCGTCCTGAGCGTCCCTTCTCCCGCGCCCCGTCCCCCGCCACCAACCTCCTCCCCGACCCCGCGCCGGCCTCGCTGCGCACCCCCGCCCGAGGTCGGACGTGGACAGGCTGTGCGCACGCGCGAGGGAGGGGCGCGCGGCGGCGGTGGGGAGGGGGGTGGGGGGTAGCCGCCTGGGACCCCCGTTGGAAGGGGAGCACCGCGTTCGAGGAGCCCGGGAGGCCGCTGGCGATTCCCTCACCAGGCTCATTTAGAAGCTTCTTTAGCCATTCTTCCAGGGATTTCCCTTCCCACGCCAGAATGCCTTACCTACCTACGCCCACTCCCCAACGGATACGCCCCTAATATAATAAACAGGTGCGGAGATGATGGGGCCCTTTTGATCTGTGTCTCCAAATGAGCACGTGTCACTTTTGTGATCATAAAAATCTGTTGAAAAGGATCGATAAATCACGGATATAGGCCTGTGTGAAGGCATGATGTCTACTGGATTCTAGAGAATTTTCCGTCAGGGTAACTGACCTTCTCTCCGTGCACGGAACAGACAAGGGGGGAAACACAAAGAGGTGACAGGTGAGGGACTCATGAAGGCCTGGCCCCACCTTTCTTGGGTGGCAGGGTTGGGGCAGAGGGACAGAAAGGAGGGGCAGCAGGCAGCTTTGGGGAAGGGAAGGCAACAAAGGAGAACAGCTGCTGTGTGCATGCTTTGAGGTCCAAAGCATCCTGCTGATTTTAGAATTCATCCATCCTGCTGATTTTAGAATTCTCTCACACTGTATCAATATGCGTACATTCACACAGGAAGCCAGAATAGGTGCGGTGACACTACCTCTCGTGCCAGGCACTAGATGGCAGAAGTTAGCAGGAAATCTTTGCAGTCACATCCTCACTTCGCAAATTGCCAACGGAGGGAAACGTCCACCTCTGAGTGTGGCCCCTGTGGCTTAAGTGTCTCAAACCCTATCACCCAGTTGCTCTTCTACTGAAGTGCTGACTCAGGATAGGAAGGAAACACACACACAGACACACACTCTTTGTTAATTTCCATTTGGGCCTCATTGGACGACTAATGCACCGGTTCTTTTAGATCCACTGGATTCCCCCAGGTGTTGTCCGGGGCGGGGGTCTCGCCTGGTGACTCTCTTGGTTTGGCTGTGTGCTTCTGAGCAGTATTTGCCTCTGTACAGGATGAATGCTCTCCATTTCAGCTCTGAGAACCAGAGTTTATTCAGGATGGAGGCTGTATACAAAGGGGGAGGGGGGAAACTGGGGCACAAAGAGAGGAAGCTGGTCCCCATTCTTTAGCTTGCTCCCCATTCCGGCCTCCTTTTAACACAAAGGCAGGCAGTGCTGGCAGACGCTGGAGGGTCCGTACTGAGGCCTTTCACTTCCTGGTTCCAGGATGAACTCTCCAAGCCTTTATCAGGATTTGTCCAACGACCTCCTGTGTTCGTCTTTTGACCTGATGCTTGCTCTTCTCTGATGTGGGTCCCTCACTGCAGTGTCCCCAGTCTTGGTCATGCCTCCTCCTCAGTCATCTTCCAGAGACTGTCCCGTGGGCTACGGGTGCCCACCATGACTGTTCCCACAGAATCTTTTGACAGTTCAACTGTCACCATTTCAGTTAACCCCCTTGAACACCACACCACCTTTGGGACATAATAATTCAAACAATCGGGCTTCTTTTGAGTGTCCCCACCAACTCTCGACATCATATGGCTCCAGGAGATCCCACCATTTGCTGTTAGTCAGTAAACCCCTATGTTCCTGTTGGGGAATTCAGAACAAGACTAGCTTTCACAAAGACAAGCATGGGGGCACCTGGGTGGCCCAGTTAAGCGTCTGATTTCGGCTCAGGTCATGGTCTCATGGTTAGTTGAGTTCAAGCCCCACGTCGGGCTCTCTGCTGTCCGCACAGAGCCCGCTTCAGATCCTCTGTCCCCCTTTCTCTGCCCCTCCCCCACTCATGCTCACTCTCACTCTCTCTCTCAAATTAAAAAAAAAAACATTAAAAAAGAACATGAAAAGAACATTAAAAAAAAGAACGATTCCTTCAAAGAAATGTTAAAATATACATGTATATTTTAAATATACATGTATAAGATGTACATATATGATAATGTATATTTAAAATATACAAGTATAAAATATACATATATAAGATATATGTGATATATTTGTCCATATATATCATTTTCTAGATATGTATCATATATATGATAAGTTGTAATTAAACAACCATGTTTGAAAAGACTACTGTGGTATACCTTAGCTAAAAACTGCCCAGAGATATAGACCATTAACTGATTGGGTCTTCAGTTAACAGGGCTCCAAAGATGCCACAATCACTTGGATGAAGCGCTCGAACGTGACCATCAATATGAATGATGGCCGCCCTCCATGTTAATGAACAGGTATTTACATTTCTACGAGACCAAAGAACCAGCGGGGCAGTGGTTGACAGGTTGCCACAGTGGCTCTGAGCAGAGTAGTGTGCTGACCGTCCTGACCGAGATCTCCTGCGGTGGAAGAGAACGACTGGAAGTTTTCCCTGGGGGTAAGTACGAAGAAGAGTCAGGAAAAGATTCTTTCCTGCGGTTTCTGAGCGAGGCTTTGTGTACTGAGGGAAACCAGAAGTCTGCTTTCATTATGGTGCTTTCTTGCTCAAAATCATTGGCTTCCCATTGCCTAAAGCAGCATTTCCGAAGCGAGTTCCACACAAGTGCTTTTTTAAGAACTTTAATGCCTCTAATGTGTTCACGTGCCCTGTAAATTCCCAAGAGGAGTACACAGAATCTAGCGTTTCCCAAACAAATTTGCTCTTGGAATCCTGTTTTCATGGAACATCTCAGAGGAACACATTTCTAGAAACGCTGGTCCACACGATAAAGTCATGTTCTGGCATTCCAGGTGTGTGTGCTGCTTTCCTGCTTGTCCTGTTCTCCACTCCTCCAGGCTCCCAGCTCCTAACTAAAGGCTTGGAAAATTGTAAATTCTATAATCAGTCCCCATGGTCTTTCCTACATCACTCGTCCCAGCCTGCATTTCCCCCTTTCCCTTCCTGCCTCCCAGTATGACTCCCCATCCTCCCCTCCACCCCACAATGCAGTTAGTCTTAAACTCCAGTATGCTTGGGGCACCTGGGTGGCTCAGTCGGTTGAGCGTCCGACTTCGGCTCTGGTCATGATCTCATGGTCCATGAGTTCCAGCCCCGCGTCGGGCTCTGTGCTGATGGCTCAGAGCCTGGAGCCTGTCTCAGATTCTGTGTCTCCCTCTCTCTCTGCCCCTGCCCCATTCATGCTCTGTCTCTCTCTGTCTCAAAAATAAATAAACGTTAAAAAAAAAAGTTTTAAGGAGAGATTACGGAAGATGGCGGCGTAGGAGGACGCTGGGCTCACCGCGCGTCCTGCTGATCACTTAGATTCCACCTACACCTGCCTAAATAACCCAGAAAACCGCCAGAGGATTAGCAGAAGGGAGTCGCCGGAGCCAAGCGCAGACGAGAGGCCCACGGAAGAGGGTAGGAAGGGCGGCGAGGCGGTGCGCGCTCCACGGACTGGCGGGAGGGAGCCGGGGCGGAGGGGCGGCTCGCCGGCCAAGCAGAGCCCCCGAGTCTGGCTTGCAAAAAGCGGAGGGGCCTGACGGACTGTGTTCCGACAGCAAGCGCGACTTAGCGGCTGGGAGGTCATAAGTTAACAGCTCTGCTCAGAAAGCGGGAAGGCTGGAGGACAAAGGGAAGGAGAGCTGCTGAGCCCCC